AAGGGGCTCAGTGCTGTGGGAAGATTAAGAAGTTTGTAGAGGAGAACCAAGAGGATTTCCACAGCTGAACAGAGAGTGGAAATAAAGAAAATAAAGACCCAAGGGCAGTGTGCCTGAATGGTAAGGTATGTGAGTTAAAGAGTGAAAGATAAATGGAGAAAATAAATTAGGTGCTAAAGGTGATCATGGGATTTAGCAAAGAAGCCCAGGAGTGTCTGTGTCCTGTCTTGACCTGGCCATAGTTCTCTCTGGGGAGGCCCTCGAGGCAGATATATATGCCCTCGGCACAGTTTATTAACATATAAGCTTATGCTCTGAACCTCAGTGTTCTATGTTAAACTCAACTGAGCAGGTAGGTAGAAGCTCAAGGATACTTCCTATCCCCTCGGCACCCAATCTTGGGACCTTACTGTCTTAATCATGTTTGTGCTCTGTATTTTAGGATGCTCTGACATTTTAGGAGCCTTGCTGGCAGGGTAGGGACTGCCCTTCCCAGTGCTAGCTTAATTCCTAGAGCAGTGATGGCGAACCTATGACACGCGTGTCAGAGGTGACACGCGAACTCATTTTTTTGGTTGATTTTTCTTTGTTAAATGGCATTTAAATATATAAAATAAATATCAAAAATATAAGTCTTTGTTTTACTATGGTTGCAAATATCAGAAAATTTCTATATGTGACATGGCACCAGAGTTAAGTTAGGGTTTTTCAAAATGCTGACATGCCGAGCTCAAAAAGTTCGCCATCACTGTCCTAGAGGCTACTTGCCTGGAAGTGTGCCTTTCATATGCAAAACCCCTGTTTCCCAACCTTTTCCTTTTGTCTAACTCTCACACACCAAGTCAATATTTCCCCTGCTCTGAATCCCTCCAGGGCCAACTACTGTGTAACTGGGACCACTCCTATAGCCCCGAGCCTGCCTGGAATTACTTAAACTGTCCAATCCTAAACTTGCTCAAAGGTGCCTACTCTGCCTCACCCATTTGTTCCTGAGTAAACCACAGTGCAGATGCTCGGCCATGCTTTCCCCGTCGCCCCTTCTGCCTCCTTACTAATCCTAGAACCTCTCCGTGAGGCCCTCCATGCTCCCTTCTCTGAGAAACTGTAAGGAATAAACTCCTCCTTCAAAGGCAGTTGTCTCTGTGTCTGTCACCTTACCCTACCAGATTAAAACAAAATCATAGGTACATTTTAAGACACCATCGTCTGGCCAGCCACATTGTTTAGGGAAGTGTTTCTCAACCTGTCCGTGGTGAAGAACCAGTTTCTGTTTTTCCCAAGTTTTCATGAACTGATACTGTTGTAAAATAAAATAACAATGAATTTCTAGAAAAATGGTCACAGTCTTGAATGTTGTGACGTCTACTTGCTGTAAGAGTTTCTAAATGATTCTCTTTATTTTTCTACTTGTCTAGTTGCAAACCAGTAGTAGGTCATTCACTAACATTAGTCTGTGAATCATACTTTGAGAATTGGTTCAGGGGAATGAATCAGTGAGAATGCCTAACATAAATGTGAGAAGAGGACTAGCCTGCAGGGAGCTGGTGGAGGCCTTTATTCCTTTCCAAACCCAACGATATGGAGGAAGGAAGTCTAAGAGCTGGCCGTGTGTGTGCCCTTTTAACACACAGTGACACTTCCCACTCATAAATGAGACCTAGTGAACATTCTAGAATCTAACCAATGCAGCTTCTCCTCTGTGATGCAGGGTTGGGGCAAAAGAGCAAAACAAATCAGAGTAATCAGGAAAGGTGTCAGGGACGTTGCATACCTGCATTCTCTCTTCTAAAGGCCTATGTACAGCATGTGGTATGTATTTAGCAGTGACATTTATGTCAAATAATCTATGGTTAGTGGTTTTCTTGATGTGCCCCCCTCCCCCGTGATCAAATTCATTTATGGTCTCAGAGATTTGTGGGTTGCTTCCACCCAAGGCAGGAAAAGACTGCATACCAAGGGAAATGCAAATGAGAGAATAGAGTATGATAGAACTAGAAATATCCAAAGAAAATACACTGATCCAGCTGCCGGCTTGGCTCCTCCGTGCATTATAGGGAGAGACTGGAACTGGAAGCATTTTGAATCTAGAGTTAGAAATGGAGTTCTAGGGAACAAAAACATCTGGGTGGGAATATTAAAGAGGATCCCTACAGCCCTTCCAGGGTTATCACCAACAGTGTTATTGTAAAAGATTTATTTAACACATAGCACATGCAGTATTGTAGAGTCCCACAAAGAACTTTCACAGAGGGATCATTTACAAAAAGGTTAAGGCCTGAACTCTAAGGCAAAAATCTCATATAGCTAAAAATTATTTTGAAAATTCCTTCAAGTCATAATTGGGCAAACTAAGTATCTCAGGGTGTAACAGGAAGGATTGTCCAGTCAGTTGTTAAGTTTCTTTCTCTTAGAGCAGTGGTCCTCAAACTGGAGGTGCATCCCTTTGGGACATTTGAAGGTTTTCCAAGCACAGTTTTAAGGAACCTGATTCTCAGATCTTTTTTTTTTTTTAATTAATCCTCACCTGAGGATATTTTTTTGCATTGAGAGAGTGGGGGTGGGGGGCTGAGAGAGAGAGAGAGAAAGAGAGAGGGAGAGAGAAGAGAGACATGGATTGGTTGCCTCCTGCACACACCCCAACCAAGGCCGGGGAGCAAACCCGAAACCCAGCTATATGCCTTTTGGTGTGCAGGACGACGCACTAACCACTGAGAAACACGGTCAGGGCCCAGATCTTTAACTTATTCCTATGCCCCAGGTTAGCCCTGTGGTCCAAAATCACACCATTTCTCCTTTTCCCTTTCCCCTTTCACAGTTAACCTCCTCCCAACTTTACAAAAGAAAGACATACCTCTGTGATCCAATTATTATGTAGAGCATTACCCTAAGGTATAAAAATCTTTGAGGTGCCAAACAAAGGGACAATTGAAAATATTAGTATCTACAAAGTTTTCTTTAATCCAGGAAATGTAAATCCATCGTAAGGCTTTCTGAATTTATTTCTGACACACTTCTGCTAAGAGTGAAACAGAGTTATAGTCAAGGGTATTGGGATGTTTTAAGTTCAGGAGCCAGGTGGTTACCACTGGGATACATATTAATAAACTTATTTTAAATAATTAGGTCATACTTTCTCCTATGAAAATAAGTCTGATTTGGCCAGTTGCTTTGGCAGTGGGGGCATAGACATTTTCATAAATTAAATGAGCCAAATCTATGGCTTTGAGGTTTTTTTGTTTTGTTTTTTGTTGTGTGTTTTTTGGTTTTTTTGCTTTGAGGTTTTGATGAAAATATTTTAAAAGCATGTGATAAGGTAAATCACCTTATTAAAAAATTAATGTTGGCATTGATATATATAAATTAACAATATTTGGGTTATTCTAATCTTTTCTGTTGGGTTAAATAAGGTTCCTTTAAGTAAAGGAATAAACCCTTTAAGAGTAACCCGTATAATTATTAGAAATAATAAATAAAGCCTTTTTGGTATTCACAGAAATCAAGAAATAGAATAATTCTAATAACTAGGTAGTAAATCCTGAGGCAAGTTGGGTGGTTTTAAGTCTTTGCTTTTAAAAAAATTGAGAGGAACTAATTTAATTGCTACCAATAAATCCTTAAAATGTGAGGGCATATAATTTGACAAGAGTTCAAAGAAGTGAGTAACATTACTATAACAAAATTCTTCCGTTCTAAGATACTGTTTGTTAATAAGATTTCTCAGCACTTAAAAATCAAGTTTTAAAAAAGGGGGAAGGGAGTTGATGTTGAGCCATGTTTCATTCTAATAATAAGTAATACTCTCTACAAATATTTACACACCAAAAACACCAATTGAAAAAAATCTCACCCATCTCATTAAGAGATACATTTTTATAAAATTTGTAAAGCTTAGTAATTACTTATAAAGTATATATTTATGTATCTTGGTCAACTTTTGTTAATAGACTAATAACTCAATCCAGGAGGGTTTTCAAATTTCTCAGAGACTCATGGTCATGGGAAAATTAAAAAAAAAATTTTAAATATAGTTTATAATTTTTTGCAGAAAAGTATTTAAAGGTGATCAGTAAAAAACAAAGTATAAAATATACATTAGCCTAAAATTCTCTAGGGAATGTAGAAAGGAAATATGTGTTGAAGGAGAAAGAAATGAGGAAAAATTTCTAAATGGTAAAGAAGAGATTTATTTTAAAATGTCAGTGCTGAGAACTACATAATTTACAAATATGGAAACTTTTGGTGAAAAAATTTATGTTGAGTTTAAAATAACGGGGAAGGGAACATAAATAATGTCCAGTGGAACAAAAATGCTTGAAGATCACTGTTGGCACAGCACTGGCCTCCAGGCACGTTCTCCTTGAAGGACTGGCAAGTGATGCCCACTTTGACATTCTTTCTTCCTGCCGAGTGTGGCATGAGCCTCACTTGAGGAAAGGAAAGGCACCACAGACGTGTTCCCCAGGGCTTTGGCTGCAGAGAGCGAGGTGGAAGCATGGTTTCCGTGCTGAGTGAACGATGAGTAGAACTTTTTAGCGGTGAACTGGTTTAAAGCCAGGTACACCTCAAGGCTGAGGGGCCAGAAGTGAGTAGTCATGGGGAGTGCGCAGCAGTAGAAATTTAACCTCCCGAGTGCTTTCTGCAAACACTTGTGCTCTGACAGCAGGAATGC